GTGTGTGTGTGTGTGTGTGTGTGTGTGTGTGTGTATGTATGTATGTATGTATGTATGTATGTATAACATGTAACATAATTTTTTGATTGTGTATTTATAATTTAAAACAGAACAATGTCTCTAATAAAAACTAATGTGAACATATAGCCATAATTTATTGACTTCCTACACCTTCCTTCTTTTTCCAGGTGGGCTAAGGCTGTTTTGACTTAGCCCTCCATATGTGTAGACAGATGTGTATATAGTTCGGCTAATATTTAAAATCCAAGGTGCTTCCTGGTCGTTTTGACTGAGATAGCCCAAGCTGCACGCTTCTTCAAACCCACCCAAAGTAGTCTTTCCAACCAGTCATGTCTTTAACCAGCAGCACACACAAAAGTCGAACAGAACAATCATGTTCTGGACAAACTCCTTCCACAAAACACAAAACTCCCACTTAGTGACTGCAGAGACCTCCTTCTCATAGTTTGAGAGATGGTCGCATGAGATTAGATGATTTATGAATTTGTAATAAATCATAAGATAATATTTATATAATGTATACCCTGCAGTTAGGACACGTGTTTTGCCAGAAAGTGTCCGCTCAATGCTGATGATAAAGTCACATTTTTTTCATCAGTTTTAGTCCATGGGCTAAGGTGGCTCGCATCGCATTCTTTCCCCACTACTGAACTTCTCTGGTATTTTCATGTACCTCAAGGTCCACTCTTTCAAAAAGAGCATGTTAACAGAAAAGAGTTGGGTCTCACTGCCCCCCAGGGACCGCTTTGGCCACACCCCTTTTCCATTGTGACCTTCAAAGTTAGGGGTACAGGGACCTTAACTGCCAACAACTTCGCTATAAACCAAACAAATTTTAAAAACAAGGTATCAGCAGATTCGTACTGACTAGCTCTTCAATTGAAATAAGTTTCATTAAACAAATATGCAAATATGTCATCAGAGGGTCAAAATGTCACAACCCCAACAGAAGATGAAATTTTTCATGTTTTATGTTTACCACACAGATCCTAAATATTCAACTTACTCAGTCTTTTCATGCACCTAGGATCCACTTATTCAGAAAAAAGTCTGTTAACAAAATTAAATATGAAGACAATGGAAATCATGACTGGTTGGACAGTGATTCCAAACTGACAGGGACCTTTAACCTGAAGAAATGATGTGAGAGGGACAGGTTTAGCACATGCCATTGGGCATAAAGACGTATTAAATTGATACATTAATTTATCAAATTTTACATCAACCAGTTTTAAAGAAGAATTAAAGTTCAAGCTAATCAAAGAACAATTCTGTGAAAGCCTTTCAATTTTAACAAACATTTGTTTCTAAATGTTCACCAATGGTCTGATGTGTTACTTTTAAAACCTGGCTGGTAACATGATTTGTTGCATAAATAATCAACAAAACCACATCTAAATGAGAGACCAAGTCAATATTTATCATTTAACACCAGATTTAAGACATTTTATTCTGACATGGTGAATCTACAGGGGTTAGACAATGAAAGTGAAACACCTGTCATTTTAGTGTGGGAGGTTTCATGCTAAATTGGACCAGCCTGGTGGTCAATCTTCATTAATTGCACCAGTAAGAGCAGAGTGTGAAGGTTCAATTAGCAGGGTAAGCGCACAGATTTGCTTAAAATATTGCAATGCGCACAACATTATGGGTGACATACCAGAGTTCAAAAGAGAACAAATTGTTGGTGCATCTGTGACCAAGACAGCAAGTCTTTGTGATGTATCAAGAGCCACTGTATCCAGGGTAATGTCAGCATACCACCAAGAAGGAAGAGCCACATCCAACAGGATTAATTGTGGATGCAAGAGGAAGCTGTCTGAAAGGGATGTTGTGATCTAAAACCAGGTGTTGCAGTTTTATTGTCTAACCCCTGTACATGCAAGTTTGTCAGCCCAGAAATTCTGAACTGTGCACACAATGAGTAGGGGTGTGGTCAAAAACTTGTGGAGTTGTACGTACCAACTTTAATGTTGTTAACTGACTTTTTTTTGAATAAGTGTAAGGTGTATGAAAAGTTAAGTAATTTGAATGTTTAGGATCTGTGTGGTAAACTCAGATAAAACAAAA